TCTATGCTCTGGCTCACAAAAGCTTAAGGCACAGTAAGGCCTTAATCCTGTTGTACAAGTTACACTGTGTATGGTTGATGATGTCATCAGCCACATCAATTGTTCAAAAAATAAAATCAGATTTCTTCCCTAAAGATCCTAAGGCTCCTATTGAATCACTTTCATCATCAGGAAGCCGTGGGGGTAGGTGGGACTGGAGGAGGAAGTTTTTAATTTACTGAAATTGATACTGCTGGAAAAGTAATTGGAAATGTTTTATTTCTAAAAAAACTGCTGCTGATGATGACACTGTCAGTCTTATGTAACATAATTTACAGCAACAATATTTCAGTCTAAAGGTGCCCTTCAGAGTAGTACCATGTTAATGGCTGTTACTGCAAGAGATTAATGTGGCTATTTTACTGATATTCCTCTGCCCAAAAATCTGGATGCAGTTATTGCCATAAAGACAACCAAATACCTACTCCATACCAATGACACTGATTCATATTAGACCAAGTTTATGACTACCAACTGGTCTTGTCTCCTGAGGGCAATCAGCTGCAGCCAACCATGTAGAGAAGATTTACACAAGTTGGTTCTTTTCCATTTCTGCCAAGAAACATAAAAGTAAAGTTTGTATGTGTCTGCAGGTGGGCTTATAGGCATTTGTGAAGATCTTAACATTTTGGAGATCTTATTTTATTATTAATGCTACAATGGAATCTGAAACTGATTTCACTGAGGAAACAGAAAGTGGATACAAATAAGGGTATCCCCAACAGGCTTTCACTTCACTCCTTTATGTATGTACAGTTCTTTGTTGCTAGACTGCCCATGAATCAGGGACCAGATGCTGAAATGAACCCTGTGAACAACCAGAAGCAGCCACTGTGGGATTCGTGCCTTCCAACAGCACAGTGAGATCACAATTTTTAGTTGGAAAAGAGGTGTGGTAGTGGTGCTGGAGCTAAAAAATGGATTTTAAAAAAGTAAGTCCTTCCTTATCTCAGAACAACATGATTAAGTCTTCTCCAAAACAAAAACATTGCTGGTGGCAAAAGTAAATCTTTCTTTTTAAAATCATTCATAAAATATAACTAAATTATTTTTCTATTTCATTTTGGGCTTTTTTAAAAAAAAAAGTCAGTATATCGTAATGTGTAAATGGCATCAATTCCCTCACCTATTGCTTTGAGACTTCATAGTCATATTATATATGGAAGACTATACAAAATAGCATACAGATAAGACTGAAGTATAGGAAAGAAAGCACTAATGGAAAGAAAATGAATGACATTTTCAGACATTTAAGACTCCCTGCCCTCAATCCACAAAGACTTAGGACCAAAGGTGGGGGGAGAGGGTAGGAAACTTTTTATTTACAAATATGGCTATGTTTGATTACGACTATGTTTGATCCCTATCTAGATGGGGGCTCGCTCACCACTCTGGTCCATGCGCTCATAATCTTGAGGTTAGACCACTGTAAGGTTAGACCCCCTCTGCGTGGGGCTACCTTTGAGATCAATGCGGAAACTCCAAATGGTGCAGAATGCGGCGGCCAGACTTCTTAGTGGGGTGAGAAAACATCAGCATTTCACCCCCACTCTGGCTGCCTTACATTGGCTGCCCGTTCAGTTCCGCATTGATTTCAAAGTTCTAATGGTTACGTATAAAGCCCTAAACGGTTTAGGGCCTCGATATCTGACGGAACGCCTCCTCCCACAAAAATCTACTCATATCACTCGATCTAGCCAGGAGGTGAGGTTGAGGAGCCTAACGCCGATGGAGGCCCGGAAGGAAAAAAAACAAGAAACTGGGCCTTCTCGGCAGTGGCTCCTCACCTTTGGAATAAACTCCCTCCTGAGATTTGAATGGCCCCTTTGCTGGCATTTTCAAAGGCCAACTGAAAACCTGGCTATTTAGGCAAGCCTTCCCTCCAGCCACTTCTTGATTTATTTTGTTCCTCCATCTTGAGTTATTTTCTTTAGAGGCATTACTTTGTTCCTATATTTTAAATTGTTTATTTTATATGTTGTTAGCCGCCCAGAGTAGTCAGTTGACTAAATGAGCGGGATATAAATTCAATAAATAAATAAATCATCAGATTTGTGCAGCGTAACTTTACATTACTGGATTTCAGCCAAAGAATGTCTAACTGATATTTTAAACAGCCCAGTGTCTAAAATGATTCTACACATCAGATGCACTACACTTCAGAGAAGAAATCACTTTTCACCTTCAGTTCAACAGTGACATGACTTCTGATTGCTAACATCCAGAGTGGTTAAATATTAAATCTTAAGGGCAACTGAACGCTGAGATTCAAGACAAACATTTATTATTTAACTACAGAATGTTACTTTCTAGGCTCCAAAGTGTGTTACAAAATGTTGAAACACTAGCTCAGGTATAACACTCCTACCAATTTTATTTACTTGGCTATGAAATTATACACCAAGGAATAAATGGGAACAAGTCATCTGCATCTGGGCAAGAAAGGCACTATATTGGCATCCAATAGATTTTCACTGACAAGTTTTCTGACAGATTTAGCCAATAGCTACTTAATAATAAGGGCAAAGCAATAAAGATAGACACACACACATACACCCGTTCTTGTACAAAATCCTTTTTCAGGACATGGCACAACAACAGTCTGCACCCATGCATACATTAATTCTTCTTCAGCTGAAAGTATTTGGAAACAGTTCACCCATTGTTTAAGCAGCAACACTGGACTTCAGCTAGAACTAAAAACAACTGTATTATAATATTAGAATGCATCCCACTGGTACTTGATGGTATGCAGGCTAGTGGAACAGCAACGCTTTCTTGACAATTTGACTAATAAATGATGTAGCAAGGCCCTAAATGTAAAAAAATGAATGCAATTTCTAAACTTTGCTGCCCCTGTTCTAATAACCTAACATGCTACTTAGCAGTTTCACGTTATTATTTCTTCCAAGCTCAGAACATAGCTGCAACAAAGAAAGATCTTTACAATGTTGGTCATTTTGGACAGAGCACTGGTTACACATGTGTAAACTAATCATCTTCCAATCTTGGGATCACATATTGCAGAGTGAACCAAGAAAAATATGTGTCTTGGAGTTCTAACTTAGTTACTTAAGTCCATGAGAAGTGATTCCGGAAAAACACCTTGCACTGTTAACCACTAAACAATAACCACCTACTTTCTGAGCATATTCAATGTCAATGTCAAAAATATAAATGTCACCATATAACAACCTAAAACCTAGCATTCAAAGTAAGAAACATTCAGGTGACAACTGCCAGTATCCCAGCCAAAATCCCAGTTTTGACATCTACATGATTCAGGTGCCATGAGATGAATTTGTGCACCACTGAATTGAAAAAGGAACTCTTTAACCAACAGCAGTCTGCCACTGATGATGATGTAATTCCTGTTGCAAATGTGGAGCTATGCAATAGGATACTGGCTAGAATATTGTAGAAAGAATAAGAGTGAAACATTGTTTGGGGTGCATCAGATGGAGAAAGACCATCAGATGGCAGAAGTAAATTCAAGAGACCAGATTGCTTTCAGGGGAAAAAACTGTCCTTCTGATTGATGGACTAGTCTGTGTTTCTTTAACCCATGCAAATGTGGAACATTTCCCCCAAACAGATTCTGTCTCTGGTCTGCCAAGCAGCATTTAACATCAAGGATTCTGTAGCTGTGAAAATAAAGCTGGCCTCGTGTCTTCTAGAACAGGGAAAGTGCCTGCTTTCTAGAACAGGGAAAATACAGTCATATATTTTTGTGTCCATCTTGCAGTGGATCACATAGACTCACTGGGCTTTCATAACTTCTTTCTGGTCCATTAGTGTTACCATTTGTCCACACAAATGAAGTATCTTGAGGACAGAGGTACTCTTGGTATGCAAGCCCCTTTATAATCTTATTCCCTTGGGAGTCTATGTGATCCACTGCAAGAGGGACACAAGAATGGAAGACTGTGCTGGATCACCCTACCTAGTCTAGAACTGTATTCCCACTAGAGGACGTGTCTGTGTGAAACCCATAGCACCTTTCTCTTCATGATCCTAGCAATCAGCATTAAGAAGAATCATGGCTTTGATACTTGAGGAAATATGTAGCCATTATGAATTAAGTGCGTAGCCTATTGACCTACCCTATCCTATCTATCCCATCGTGAATCTGGATTCAAACCTAAGATCGGCCCCACACATAACGTGTGCGCTCCAGCACGTTGTTATATTCAATCTTAGAGCTTAGCCTGAACTGCCAGGAGCTTTAATGACATACAGAGGTTACACTAATAAATGAAGAGGGTTGCGCAACACCCGGCACATTCATAGCCTATAATAAACAATAAGAATTGACTTGCCTAAAGGAAAGGCACCACTCCTTGGCTAGCATTGAAGGAGAAGTCATTACTTCAGGGGATTAGCAACGAGTACGACACACCTTCAGGCTTCGGGAAAGAAACCTCTCCACTTCCCCAGTTGGATTCCAGGAAAAATAATGTCCCTTTTCCCTTTGGGGATGGGCAGGGGATTTGTGTTTACCTTTCCTATGGGGCAAGGGGGGGGGTTAAGCAACTGAGCCCAAGGAAAGCTCTATGATGCAGCTGTGGGGGGGGGTGTTGAGGAGTGCGAGGGACCCGATGTGGATGTAGGCCAGTTGCAACCACAACGTCGGGGATAGGAAAAGAAGGCCTGGGGTGTGTAACAGGGCTAACTTGGCTCCCTCAGAATAAAAAAAGCGGCAAGGCTCCTCTGCAGATAAGGAAGCTACAAAAAGCAAGGTGTGGGGGGTGACGAAAGGAAAGGGCTCCCCAAGCCCTAACACAAACCCCTCCCTTCTTCCCCCCCACCGCGCACCCCGAGGGGACCTCTCGCTATTTGGGGGAAGAGATAAAACCAGGCCGCCGGAGGTGCTCAGCGCCGCCCCCCCACTTTGGAGGGGTGGAGGTGGGGGGGGTGAGAAGAGAGGCAGCCGGTCTCCTCTTTCGCCTCTAACCTCCTACCTGCCAGGCCGGCCCTGCCATTTCGGCTCCTGCTCCTCAGGGAGGCGGGGGTCCTAAGCCTCCGGGCCCGGCCTCGACGGCCACCGCCTCCCCTTCTAGCAGCAGCAGCACATGCAGCAAGACGGAGGTCACCACGCCGGGAGCCGCAGCGGCCATGGAGGAGGAGGAGGAGAAGGTGGTGGTGGTGGAGGAGGAGGAGGTGGAGAGGCTGTTGCCGGTGGCGGCGGTCAAGGAGGAACCCTCCCCGCCTGGACCGGAGCCGCCGCCGCCGCCGCCACGGCTCCCTCCTCCCTCCCCTCTCTTCTCTTCTCCTCTCCTCCCTCCGCCTCCCGCGGCCACCCCAGCAATGGGACTGACAGAGCGGGTCCCGGGCTCCACCCCCTTTCTCCACCCCCTTTCCTTTGACTGGCCATTCCGCTCCGGGCCCTCGGCCCTCGGAGCCCGCCTACCCAGCCACATCCTCCAATCGGGATTGAGACTTTGCCAAAGGCACCGGATTCCTTTCACCAGCCGCCGCTCATAACACCGTGCTTGGCAAGCCGGGAGACCCGAGAAACAGAGGGTTGCGGCCGCCGCCGCCGCGGCAAGAAAGGAAGGAAGGAAGGCAGGCGGCCCTGCCCGGGGCGGGACTAGTAATTTCGTCCGTCTGATTTCGTCCAATAAGGGCGCAGAAAACAAGTAACAGACAGTTCCTTCCACCTATTTGGTTTTTTTTCAAGAGCAAAATACGGGGCAATTGTTCCCGGGATTAATAAGAGAATTCTGAGAGGGAGGGGGGAGCGGCGGTTCGAGTTGCGTATGGAGAACAGTAGCTTCACCATATAGGTCAAAGGAAAGACAGGCAATACATCTGCGGCGTCCTCTGACGGCCAATAATTTGACAGTGGGAATTAATCAACAGATGCATTTGCAGGAATCTCCCTGAGTGACAAAACGACCAGCCAATGAGATTTAATAAGGGCAGCTCTTCCCCCCCCCGCACATCTTTTCGAGTACAGTAGTCGGCGTTTGGAGCCACGGATTTCTGGGAGGGATGCAGAAATGACCGTGTCCCTTTTTTCTCCTCTGTGTCTCTCCTTTCCGTGCTGAGCCGTGAGCCCTCTACTCGCACCCAAACATCTCCACTGAATTTTAATGGCATCTCGTATCCTCGACTGGTGTGAGGCTGGAGGAGGGGACTGCCTGGAATTAAGGGTGGTCTCCATGCTTCAAGTACCACATTTAAACTCGTTCTACCATGGAAACGGGTACCCTGTGTAGTGTAGTGGGAGCTGGGTTCAAATTCTCCTTCAGCTCTGGAAACTTAAGGGGAGGAGTGGAGGAGAGATGGCACTTCTTAAATAATTCATTTACCTTGAAAGCCCTATTACGGTCTTTACAAGTCAGCTCCGACTTGACGGTAAATAACAGGCGCGCACACATGGAAACTATCAGGCTTAAACTGGAAACCAAGGATACTCTGTTCCTCAATTGCCAGCCATGATTGATTAAACTTCTGGCCTTGTAGTTTGTTCTTGTATCCAGCCCCATGACCAGCAGCAAATAGCACTCCACTCTCTGCTGCTCTTCACCCCGTTGCATGAATGTACGCAATAACCACATATGTAATACGTGACACACACCCTTCTCCAAGTGTTGACAGGTCCAGAAAATAAAGAGCTTCAAGTTCTGTTTTTCTTGGAAGTGGGAGTACTCTGATTTATTTATTACTATATAAACAAAGGATAGTGGAAGCAAATGCAGCAGGTATCCTATTACCAGGAATTCAAGAGCCAAGAACCGACACAGGTGCTTTCAGTTCAGCTGAATTCTCCTTTATTGCTGAATTCAACAAGTCTTAAACTCTTGTCAGTCCCTGCAAAAATAAAAAAACAACAACAAAGAAACAAAACTAATGCCAACAGTGCTTTGATTAAAACAGTCCCTAAATACCATTGACTAGATAATTGATTTAAGTAGCACAACAATGCACATTTTGACTTCAGATGATATGGCAAGCATTACCATAAGGTGGTTCACGTCTTGCTGGAAAGCTGGCGCCAAATGATGAAAATTAATTGAGATGGCATTCAAAAATGGAACGAGGGAAGTTACCAGGCCTGTTCTATGTGGGTTTGTCCTGATTATTCTTCACAATGAAATAATTTGACAGCACAGTCCTGTGGCCATGGAGCCTTACTGGTGGTGCCAAGATAATTGAATATGGAAGCTGCGGTTGTATTATCTGAAGTAGTTTCCTTCTAGAAGCAGTCTGGAAGTTGGGGAGGTGGGATTTGGATTGTAGACTCAGGCATGCAGGAGTGCCTTAACAGCTTTTCCTCACTTCAGATACATCTCCTTACTCCACCCTGCATTACTCCTGGCTGCCAGGAATCATGCAATGGTAATACCATCCACAGAGTAATGTTAAAGTGACAATGACTTACATCTGGAAATCAGCATAAAGCAGATTATTTTTTTTTAAAGCAGCATTGCCCCGCCCCCAGTTTGCTTTTAGGAGAAGAAAAAGACACTAGAGAATTCAGCCACACAGCTTCTGTGTAACACAGAATTTGGCTCACAACAACCCAACAAAATCCTCTCTACCAACAGCTCTCACAGATACACAGGTGAGCCACTGGTGAGGCTACATAGAACAAAAGGCTTCCTCAGTCATGTGAGAGGCTGTCAATGAGCTGAAGAACCTACCAAGCACTTTCATGCTTCACAGTCTCTGATTGGTCCCGGCCTTTGCACTCTTTCAAGAACGTATCCAGGGCTAGAAGCTGGTATCTTTTACACACAGAACCTATGTTCTTCCACTGGACTCCAGGATGTACCAATATGACTACATCTTTTTTTGGCTGGGTCTGGTTTGGTTTGACCAATACTGTGCATTCCTCCATGCTGTGGCTGTGGAAGTGGGGACAAGCTTCCTAGCCTGTGTTTTCACCTTTCCCTTATTCCTAAAAATGGTGTTTTGCTTTCATTCAAGCATCTCTCCTGCCAGAATTCAAACCCACATGACCTGCTTCCAATTGTGGTTGAATAGACCAGATGGGCAGGATATAAACAAACAAACAAACAAACAAACAAACAAACAAATAAATAAATTCCCATTGTCTAACAAATCTTTTATTTATTTATTTATTTATTTATTTGATTTGATTTGATTTGATTTGATTTGATTTATACCCCGCCCATCTGGTCTATATGACCACTCTAGGCGGCTTTTTCATTGCTTTCTGTTCCCCATTTTGTGTGTCCTGGATCGCCTCTGACAAAGAACATATCCACATCAGGTAGGCATTGATCTTTTGGATTTCAGCCCCTTTTCAAGGAAAGCTGGGTGTATTCCCCATATCTCCTCCTTCCCAGGTAAGGAGTGCTAGGCTTGGCCTGATTATCATTACTTCTTATATGTTCATATGTGTGTGTATGTGTGTTTTAAAAAGCAAAATAAAAGCAAAGAAACCCTAACCTTATTGTTTGTTCTGTGTGTCTGTGTCTGTGTCTGTGTCTGTGTCTGTGTCTGTGTCTGTGTCTGTGTCTGTGTGCGCGCACATCCTGAAGTCCATGCTTATGGATAAGTCTTGAGTAAGCTACGGCTTATAAGGCTCTTGCTGCTGAGGATTCCGTGGTAGTCTGTATGTATTTGATGCAATAACATGACAATAACACCTTTCCTTTACTATGCATTTTTGGCACCAGTAGCAGTCCGTGACTTCAGTTCTGGTGGTGCTGTGAATCCATTCTGGGTTTTAGTCAGTACTTTATAGGAGTTATCCAAGGTGCTGATCCTGCACCTCGTGGCGCAGTGGTTAAATCGCTGTACTGCAGCCAAAACTGTGCTCACAACCTGGGGTTCAATTCCAGGTAGCCGGCTCAAGGTTGACTCAGCCTTCTATCCTTCCGAGGTCGGTAAAATGAGTACCCATCTTGCTGGGGGGGGGTCAATGTGTAGCCTGCATAATTAACTTGTAAACTGCCCAGAGAGTGCTTGAAGCACTATGGGGTTGTATATAAGCAGCACACTTTGCTTTGCTTTTGTTTTGCTTTTAGGAAGAAGGTCCTCAACTTGGATAGCTCCTGTAAAAGGCAGACCTGGACTAGCTTCACAGCTTCCTCAACACGGGAACCATCAGCCACCACTAGTTGCTACCTTTGTTGCATAGCTGATGTTGACTGACCCACTCCATGCTGTGACTGGTGTACATTGACAGCCAAGAGATAATCGTTGCTTTGTGTATATCTGGCTGATGATGTTGTCACATTATCTCTAACAGTGACAATTTCTTCTCATTTGTTTCCGCTGAGAGCAAAGGGATCCCAGGACAGTGACATGTGCTGATAGCGGCCTGCCTGCCTGCATGAAATATTTAACAGCTTAATATGCTTATCATATTTGTGTTATCATATAAAATCCAAAATGATGGTGAATGGATGCAATTAAAATTCAAGATTTTATTAATAACAGTACAGCAATGGGCTCTAAGGAATACAATAAATAGAAACAAAAAAAGTAGAGGGTATGACTGAAGGCCAAATTGTTCTGGGCTGGATCATCCTAAACAAGATCACTTTGTGATGTCGCATGTCATTTGGGGCAATCGAGTGGTTTAGGTACACACTGCACCTCAAGCAACCTTATTTAGCCCTTTGTTCTCTTTGAAGTGAAGTGGGTGGGGAGAAAGAAAAAAATAACAAAAAAAATTCCCCCTCCTTGCACCCCCCTCCTTGGTGGAAGGGTGAGAGGAAGCTTTCAATTTCTAAAAAATTATTCCCAAGAGGCATAACACTGGGTTTGCTTGTTGATCAATTAAGTCAATGTGGATTACAGGGGCCTTTAAAATAAATTGCATCCTCTTCTGTTACCCCTCTGCAGGGAAGCAGTAGGAAGTTTTCAATTTATTAACAGCCAAGGAAAGTGATAGCCAGCCATCTGCTTTGCTTTGATCTTATCCTTCACACATGCCAGAAACAAACCAAAAGTGAGTGATCTTACCTGCAGCAAAACAACAACAATCAGGAGCTGCTAACAGGGACTAAAAAAGGTGCATGGTAGGGACAGGCTGGTTCACAATTCCCCATACATAATATGGTCACCAGAAAAAGGAGTGAACCAGTTTGTTCCCAAAGCAGATCAAGCCATAGGACAAAGCCCTATCTGATAGCATCCTAAATAAACTTAAAAATAATCAGCAATGCACTGAAGATACAGTGGCTAAATTTCTGTTGTTCAGTGCAGTATGTTGCAAATGGAATAGGCCCACTGAATCAGTGTTGAGTAAAGTCCTCTGTAAGTTCTATTGATTCAATGGGTGTACTTAGTTGCCATTTACTATGTTAAGCAACAGAATTTCAGACAGTAAATAACAAACAAACATGTATTGGAAACCT